CACACGGGCAACCCCGAATAAAAACTAATCCCCGATTTATATCCTTCGATCTCTCGATGAAGCGAACGTTCGCGTCGATCGAGAGCACCGTTATTCTAATCCGTCCGTCTCGTTTCATATCGAATTCGATACTTTACGCCGTTGTAAACGGCTATCGTGTATTTTACGGACATGCTCCTCGCTTCGCTCTTGACATCCATCATATCCATCGCTCGCTGCGCGGATTATTGTCGTGGACGCGACGCGGTGCGCCGTGAGAGGAATCCTTCACGCGACGCACGGCCGTGCTCGCGTGTTTCCGTGGCAACCGTAAACAGGCGCCCCCAAAATTTTATTGGCGAGCTATCGCACAAAGCAGGTGGGTCACCCCTTTTACGATCCGCACGTGGAATATACCAGCGGATATCTCGCTATCTCGGGACCTCGTCTACCCCCTCCTCGCCCCCGCGTTTCTCTTTCCCGAGCTTTCGTCGAGCATTCGGCTATCGGACTCGATTAATTTCCAATGGATGCTCATAAAGAGCGCTTTACTGGCTGTTATACGTGCCGATATGCTTGCGAAAAGGCACGTTCGTTCATGGCGCCGATACTTCGGCCGTAGACCTCGTTCGGGTCTGTCGGGAGGAACTTCCTCTCTTCGGAGGAAGAACGACCGCAATCTCCGTAATGGAGAGGAATCCGTCGGCGTTGGAGGCGTTTCGGGACCGCTAGTAAATTGTTTCGCACGAAAGACTAAATTGTTGTGTCCGATTCCGCAAGTTTCCGACGACACGACGTATCGATGATCATTTCGATTAGAGGTTCCCAAATTTTTCAATCTTGCTCTCTTTTGATATTTTTCAAACCTTTCGCCAACTCTTTGGATTGAGTTCTTACTTTTTTTTGAAAAAAGCCTATGAATATAAAACAGAGAGAAATAAACAAATAAATTTAGAAAATCCAACAGTAAGATAATTAATCACGTACAATAAAATAAAAAAAGATTAAAAATTATTTATACGTGAATCAATAAAATATAAATTAGTAGAAATTTCTTCTTTCATAGACAGAAATTAATGGATATTGCAAATGACATTCATTTTGTACATAAAATATCAGTTAATATTATTTTATCATGGTTTATCGTGTTATCGTGTTAGCAATTAATTATTTAATTGAAATAAAAATATTCTTGTTTTTATGCTTTTTGCATAATATTGATATTTTCTCTCTTGATAATTAAATGATAGCGATATTGATAGTTACTTCTCGAAAGCACTTAACTGATATTTCTTGTTAATAATCAAGTGCACCGATAAAGCGTTTTAAATGATAAGCTATACAAAGAAGATATTCTTGGTACATGGATCACTAATGCATTATTTACTAACTGTGCCTTTTTTTCATAAATCGGTATTCATGCGAGATCATGCAATGAAAAACGAGATTCACAATGGGGAATATGAGAAAAGAGCGAATGGTCATAGTTGATTTATACATATATGATGCGAACGAGCCGCATTTTAATTGAGATATAAATTTCTGGGCGTGAATATACCCATGATTGAAGTCACGATCCAATTTCATTACGAAATTTAATGCCAATATGCGGTGTCAATAAAATGTTGTCGACGATATCCACTCAACAATTTGCCACTTTACGCTGAATTTTGCGCTTATTTTTAGCTGTATCATTTTTGAATAGTATTACAAAACAAATTTTACGAGATGCAGCAAATTATTAGAACAGGAATAATATATATGATAATATAATAAAAGCAAAAATAAGGTAATTTTTAGAATTCTAATTAAATAATAAATTTTACATTAACTCGCAAGTTTTTTAATTTTTTATTTATTTGCAATTTAAATTAAAGGATGAATATTTATTATTTATTATTTTACTTATCCAAATAAATATTATGTCTTCAAGATCTGAAAATATAAATAGATTTAGAAAATTTGTTTAACAGATAAGTTTTTTATCTTAATTTTTATCTTATGTGACTTTATTTGATTAAATTTTATCAGTTTGTTTTATTAGTAAATAACTTATTAACATTTTTATTAATGATTTGTCAAGTTCAACGTTTAAAAATACGCTAATGGCATTATACAATTAGTACCCTGTCTATTGGTTTGTCACTTTACATTGATGCTTGTTGGGTCGGCTCTGTTAAGGCGTTAATTTTTTCGTGATGTTTTTCAATCAAATACAAGTGCACACAATTACGACAAGCGAGTGTAATAATTAAATTAAGAAGAAACATAAATGAGATTTATGCTGTATATTTCGTGACATTGCGCATTTTTAAAAGAATAATTGCTTTTCATTTTATAGTTTTTCAAAAATTAATAAAGATTTAACATATGTATAAATTATAGATATAAGTCAAAATTATGTGTCGATAAATATGTATTTCTATTTAATGTTAAATATTAAAAATTTCATGACTTTACTATTTTTAATTACAATATATGTATATAAATTATAATTAAATACATATACACGCACATACACACTTTATCTGTCAATTAAGAATGATATTTCAATGATTTTTAAACAAATAATTTATTTAATTTATTATCTTTTTCTAATGTCTAGTCAATATAATTTGTGGATATAATTGGTTATATATAACTTACGTAATATATAACTTACGTTACAATCTCTGTCAATTAAAATTTTCCATCTATCAGATATTCTGTTTTCAATCATTATCTTTTTCTAAATGACTGAATTGTAAAATATAATGCTATTCTGAATTTTAAAAATCATTCTAAAAATCATTTATTGTTGTGAACTTATTGTTAGTGTGTCGAAATAGTCATCTTTTCAGACGATTGTCTAGACATAAGATACACGATCGAATCACGGAGATTTGTGAGTTCCATTATGAAACTTTTCGATTTACGTAAATTCTGATTCACGATAGAGAAAAAGAGAGAGAAAGAGAGAAAGAGAGAGAAAGAGAGAGAAATTTCGATTGGGTTGCAGTGCTCGGAGTAGATTAAATCTTCATGGAGAAATGGGGCGATCGAGTGCGATAAATCAAGTCCCCTAGGCTTCTCATTTCAGAAAAGACGCGTCTTCTTTTCTTTAAATCATTCTCCCATGTTACATGTCGACGGAGATTAAAATTTTATTTAAGCTTGCAATTTTACTTATGTGATTATGTTTACTTTTGTGATTATTTTTATATAAGGTATAAGATAATATAGCTAAATTATTTCATTTATTTAGTTTTTTACATACATACATATATATTTTATGTATTATAATTAAAAGAATTTATTAAAAAATTCCATAAAATAAGACATTTTAGTCAAATTAAAGGCATTTTTACGTATGCTAATAGAAGATTCATAATTCACTGCAAGTTTTTTTTATTACGTAAATAACTATTTATACTAATTATATTTTAAAACACAATTATGTACACAAAAATGCAATTATGCTCGCTTCTTTTAAATATTTATAATAACTACGCAGTGACGGTAATAATCGTCGAATTTACATGCAAGTCAAATGATTTAGAAATCATTTTCCTCTTATAGCAGAATCTTTTGAATTGAAATCTTGTTTGCGAATGGCTGGGCTTCGTCAACAGACTTGTTACGCCAAACGTTTTTCCCTTCGCCATTCGCTTCAAATATCGTATTGTCTCTATCCATATGACATTCTACTTTATCGGTCCAGCATATTGAGGCAGTCGACCGGAAACGCGGTAGCTGAATATGTCTCGAATTTCCTTTTCTCTTTCTACTCGATCGTACTCCCGCCTTTCTCTAAAACTGACAATTCAGATCTCTCTCTATTTCTCTCGGAGGGTCCTCGACTATGGTTTGAGACATTGGCGATGGGGACAGTCATGCGTGTCATCCACGGTATTTGCCGAACGTCAAATATCTGCCGTCAAATATCTGCCCCAAAGGAATGAATTAGTTATCACACCATTATACGTTGAATATTTGTTTTACTAGAGATAGCGCTCATGTTTATTAGAATATAATTAATATTACATTAGATGTTCATTAACGTTAATTAATTTAACTAACATTATCGGGAATTAATACTTCTCTGTTGATAAGTGATAATTATAGATTTTAAAGAGACATATCATCGAACAGTTATTTCCTAACTATTTATTGATATGTACTGCTGTAAAATTTTTCCAATTCTATCTGAGATTAAATTATTGAAGATAACAAAGATAAAGCTTTCAATGAAGATTATATATTATTTATTATAACGAAAGCATTGATATAATTCACAAGTTTTGCTTTTATTTGTGATTGTATTTGTATAATAACTTATCATTAATACCATTGATGATAAATTAATTTAAGATGAGGTTTTGTGTTTTAAGCTGACAATCGAGAGTGAAAAAATTATATGATGAGATTACGAGTCTAAAATATTAATCACATTCTTTATTAACAAAAATATCAAGATTATGTGATGAACTCAATTTTAGGATTACATTACATTAAGAAATCTCAATGAATGTGATTATAAATATATAATATATACTTGCATATGCTATTAAAATTATACTATACTATACACAAGATATATACATTTTTAAATTAACATTACTTGAAATTATCCAGTGATAGATGTATATTACCTCCATATTATTATATGGGATTTTTACACAGATATTTTTTGTAGCATTAAATAAAAATAATTCGTTTATACTAAGAGTATCAAAATGATTACATTGTTTTGAAAGTATTATTTATATACTACTTGTTTTGAAGATATATATAAATATAAGATTAAAATAAAAAATGTGTGCATTAGCGTACCATATGTGTGTATATAAAGTAAATGTATGTAAATTCACACATGACTCACTTGCGATTATTACGTATTAGATACGATCACCAATAAAAACAAATAATAATCATATTAATAGCTCATGGAAAATAACTTTAGATAATTAATGTTAGGTAATTAATTTTAGATTAAAGTTGCTATTTAAATTACCCCACCATATACACCGCAGCATTAAAAGCTTGAACTTGAAGTGTTTAGTATCACAAGTTGCATATTAATAACGAATAATATAAAAAAATCTACGACAATGGCACGGCTAATTGTTTTGTCTCTCCTTTTCGTTGCAGTCTGTATTTGTAAGTCTATATCTGTTTTTTTCTAATTATTTTATTATGATATTGATTCATAAAAATTTTATATCTTTTTATATCTTTTCTTTTAAATCTAATATATAAATCTAATATATAAAGTATGAATTTATTATGAATAATAAATTTATTATTTATTATGAATAATCTTGCAGTATTCACATTTTTTGTTCTTTTTTCTAGAATGTTTTGAAACATTTTATTTTGTACAAAGTAGAAAGATAAAAATACAATTTTAAGACATTATACAGGTTCTAAAATAAATTGATGTTAAATCAATCATGTTTTTTCATGCATGATTTTATAATATACACTTTAGATGGTTTTCAAAAACGTAAATCCTGCGGTCCTAATGAAGAATGGCGTATATGTGCAGTGCTACCATTTTGCGAACCTAAATGTGGTCAAGTTTTTCAGCCACTCTGTCCTCCGGTACGTAAATACAATAGTTATTATGATAATTATACTATTACAATAATTGGATTATTATTGTTTCATTATATTGGTTTATATTTAGGAGGTGTCCGAAATAAATTAATATACTTGAATATAATTCGTAAATACATAGTAGATGTTAGGAAATACTTGTTTAAATAAAAGTGTAGAATATATGGAGAGCAAGCTGAATCATAAATTTGAAACGAGCATTACATATTTTTTCGTAAAAATAATGAAAAGTTGACAAATTAGAGCCAAATAATTGTGGGCAATTGGAGTGCAATAAAGAAGAAACAACACCTTTTTCTTTTTTTATTATTGGTATATTTTAAAATAATTGTCACAATACATTAAACACGAATGTTTCAGATTATCTTTTGATCTCTCTTCAGTGCGACATTAATATTACGTGTTAAAGAATATTATATCATAACATACATGAAATTATATAAATCATCTCGCAATCGACATACAGATACTACAATGCTATATTTCGTATAACAATTTGGCAAGCACATTCTTCCGAATAATTCTAATTATTATACAAAACCTGCGCTATATTCAACTTTTATTGAACAATTACTTTCATGAAAAAAATGATTTCCTACTGTGAGCATATGTACACATAAGAGCTATTCATGTATTATTATTTTATTTTGGATTTTCTGGATAATTTATTATATATATAATTGTTATTTTTTATTTATACATATATCCTCACTAGTTTAAGTCGATAATTGATTTTCATTAAATTAAAAATTAATTTAGCTTCTTATCTTAATTTTAGATTTGCAATTCTGGTTGCCAGTGCTCGGAAGGATACAAAAGAAATGTAACTACTAATCTTTGCGTTAAGTGTTTTTAAAGTTACAAAGTTGTATTGAACGAAGAATGATTATTTTAATTATTTTATTTTATTTTATAATAATAGGTACATATATAAAATATATAAAAGTTTCTGTATATTATAATGCATCAAGTGCACGTACTTTGCGCAGATTAAAGATATTTTGATATTATATTTTGATATTATATTTTGATAAGAAAATAGATTATATATAGTTCTTAATGATGTTGAACTCCATCATATATACGATGCAATATCGATATAACGTGAAACATAAAAAGAAGTGATTGCCGATAGATTAAACTTAATTGTCATTTATAATTGTAATCGATGTGCTATCTATTCATGTACTTGATGACCTAGATGTTTTTAGGTTTTATATTTAAATAATTTAGGTTTAATATATTTCATGTTTAGATATATTTTCTTGAATGTCTATAAATTAAATAAATACTTTTAGGAAAATTTATGAATGTTTGTTAACATTCTCAATCAAAATAATTAAAATAGCTAATAAAAGTATTCTGATATGTATTTACATATTTTTTATTAAAAGCAGATGAAGCAGTTTTAAGATTTAACAAACAGCACTTCCTAAGTAACTACATAATATAATAAAATTGTTTAAGTTAAAAAAACTTTAATTATACTAAAAATACACTTATATAACAATCAATAAAAAAATTTTAATCATTTCGCATTATTTTATCGGTATATCGATATTTGAAAATTTATTTGATTGTTGAATGATTAACAGCTTTGGAGAGATATGCAGCTTTTTCCCGCATTTCTCACGTATCCTTCTATGCACTCACATCCGGCAACACATTCCTGAAAATAAAATGAGAAACATTAATAAAGAAAATATATATATATATATATATATATATATATATATATATATATATATAGAAAGAGAGAGAAAGAAAAAGAGAAAGAGAGAGAGAGAGAGAGGGAGACTTTATTTATAGAGAATTATTTTAGAATTTTATTTATGTAATTAAATTTCTACAAATTCTATTTCCCAAAAAATGCATTTTTTAAAAATTTATTTAAAGTATTCTATTAAGGGATGCAGTACTGACCAATGTACAAGCACGGGGAATTGGATTTTCGCAAGTGCTTGGGCACCTTGAACCGCAACTATTGAATACTTCATTTTCACTACAATGAGGCAAAGCACCTAGAAAAACATAATTAAAAATTAATTATTTCTATTTTTATTTATTGAAATTTTGCATGTAAAATATTGTCATTTTACGCGATATAAAATTTAATTATTTTTTTTTATTTTGCTATTCTACAAAAATATCCTATATGATCAATCTTTATAATTGTCTGAAAATTATATTTTCAGTGGAATTTGAAAATTTATTATTTTTGTGATATGATACGATATATCATATGATATGATGTGATATGATATGATATCATGATATGATATGAGATATGGATACATAATTCTATTAATTATTTATAAAATTAAAATAAAAAATTAGTTCTCAAAATAATAACAATTATAAAATAGTAAAATGGATATAAGTAAAAATAGTTGCGTAGGAAAGAAAAGAAAACATTTTCTTCTTTTTTTCTTTTTTTACTGATGTATTTTAAAAAATTTTTTGCTTTCTTTAAAATATATACATTAGATGCGAACGTTTTGGACATTTTTTGATGTCATGTTTAGCGTGATTTTAATATTAATGTTAGAGAAAGAATATCGAATAATAATATATAAATCATATTAATCATATTTGACGTATATATTTAAAAAAAAGCGAATATTTTGAACATATCAATATAAGTAAAGAAAAAAAAAGAATATTTTTTCGCTTCTTTGCTGTGCTCCAATTACTACGATTTGACTCCTATTTGCCAATTTTACTACATATTTCATAATTGTTATTTATAATATCTTACAATAATATTAGTAAATAGAATATATGTAAATGAAATTTCCAGTTTAATATTTAATAATTTGATATTTATATTACTATTAGATATTTATAATTTGATAGATTATTGATTTGAATACTTACTAATGGTAGTAATTACGATGAGGAAGAGCAGAATTACAGCGCGGGCCATGTTTATATCTCTCTGCTTTTCGATATTCACTTGCTCTTGAGCAACTCGAACTGAACTGATGATAGGCGTCCGTTTTACTGAGCTTATATAGAATATCGAGTGTGCGGCCTTCGCCCACTATGTCTTTCTCCAGATAGGCACTTTTTCGGCGTAACTACTTCCTTTTTGTTCTTTAGGCTCATCTCAGATAATAACTTATTTGGATGTTGGAACCGCTATATCGAAATGTGTGACATGAATTTTAATTGATATTTTCTAATCGGTAGAAAATCTTATAGGTAACCTAATTCCAACTTATAAACAGAATTTTTGAATTAATGAAATCGTTTTGTTATAATTTCGATATTTCAAATTTTCATGATTGTTAGAGCAGCTGCAATCTTTGTTAAAATATTTATATTTGTATGTATTTATATTTATATTTGTTTAAACATTTTACTCTATTTGTAATGTTTGAAATCTAGTTAGATTTTAGTTTTATAGATATTAACTAATTTTTAATAAATTTAAATATTGAAATTTTTATACACTTTTACACTTTATACACACATACACGTGCACACATATAATATATGATATAATCATAAATCCGACATGATAGAGAAATAATCTGTATATCTTGAAGTTCTAGAAGTCTCTCTAAATTTAATTACTAATATTGATAACAGAGATTGATATCTTATAGATCTTAAAAAACATCAAGTATTGATATCTTATAAATCTTAAAAAAAAAAAACATCAAGTGATGTATGTGCAGCGTATTATCATAAATATATGTACAAATAGAAAAAACATTAATTATTATTTATAAAAAGAATTTATATGTTATATAATAATTATAATTATTATATTTTATTGATGTTATGAATTACTGATTGTATTTCCTATTGATTACAAATTTTTTTCTCGTTTCTATGATTCATAGAGAAAATCTGAAATTAATTATGTGTTCCCTCTTTTTTCTACCAAAATATTTAAATCCTTGAGATACTTTAACTAAAATAATATATGTAAATTATATGATTGCTTATCTCGTTTGAGAAGAGAGTTTGAGTAAAACTTAAGTGATACATTCCCGTTAATAAGGTCAGCTATATTAGAATGACCCTTTTGATTTGAATTCAGTATTTGTTTTTATTAGGTATTTTCAAAAAATACGTAATTTTACTTGCAAAGACAACTAGTTAAGCCTTTTGATATTCTTCAAGAAATATAAATAATACATCATTATATTTTCATTACATCAAATTTATATCATTATATTACATTACATTTACATTATTATATATTACATTATATTTACATGATAAGACTAAGTGAAATGTATTTTATAAAATTGCTAATTTATATAATTTAAATATGCTATTTTATATATACGTTTTAATAATATTTTTTTACACTTTTTTAGATTGTAATATAAAGATACGTTGAAAAAAGTTTCTCTTAGATTATTTTATGTGAAATCATTCAAATTATTTTATATGAAATTTCCGAAATTAACAATAAAAAAAACGATCAAGCAAATTCTACATATATATTCTTCTACATACATCACTTCCAATCTACTTCCAATCTAAGTTAAATAACTGATTATTTATAAAACCCGATTAATCTATAATAAGAGTATCGATAGTAGTAAAGTATTATTAAATTAATCACTGCAGATGTGCTCGTAAACAATGATTCTCACGTAGCCACGAAAAGAAGTATTATCATTTTATGTGTGTGTGTGTGTGTTCTATTTAAAGAAGTATTATCATTTTATGTGTGTGTGTTCTATTTAATAAATTTTTATTATAAATATATAATTCTACAATTTAATTTGTATCAATATGCGTTCTTATTACAATATTATAATGTGTATTCTTATTTTAATTTGTAATAGCAGTTAACGAAATAAGATAATACGCGCGATTTACATTGACTAATTTCACGTCGTGAAATGAGATCATAACGATTTTGGGTTTCCTGTCTTTAAAAGAGAAATAAAGAAAAATTCATTATTTCATTAATCTAAAATGCGCATAATATGTGTATAGAATATATTATATTAAAAATAATATGTTATTCTTTTAGGAGTTTTTAAAGAATTTATCCTGTATTTCTATCGATTTGTACGAATCAAATATGTAACCATATTTTTTACACATGTGAATGTATAAATATACTTGTACAAATAATGTTACATTTCGCATTTGTATAGCTATTTTTCTATTTTATTGTACTGGAGAGACATTAAATTTATACATATATTAACATAATATATTCATTTTTCGTTTTCCTTTTTTTTCTATACACTCATAATCAAACTTATATTAATTTATATTAATTTCTATCATAATAGAATTACTCTAATTGTAAGTAACTTAATATCTTATACCTTTCTTTTTCTTAAGTTAGAATATGTCAATATGACTAACACGCAATGTATCTATATGCGATATCTCTCTTCACAGTCAATATTAGCTAATATATTACTCGTTTCGTGAAATTGAGTGTTTGTTATTTAAACAGCATTGTATTGACGTATGAGTCTCTGTTCAGTTCTTAGAAATGCAATGAGGCTAGAAAAAATATATATTTTCTTTCGTATAATTTTTCTTCTTATTTATTGATAGGAGAGAAATATTTCTGTCGTTTAATTTTTTTAATGGGGAGAATCCCGTATATTTAAAAATATAGAAAAATATATTGGTAGATAGAAAGAGAGAGAAATATTTATAATAATATATTTAAAAACATCCAAATTACATATAATAAGTTTATTTTTAAAATATACGAGAAAAATTAATTTATTAATTAATTTTTCTTAGTGAAAATCTCAACGGGATCTTTATTTCATTGTGCATTTCTAATCGTGTATATACACACACACATATAATATATTTTACACAAATAATATATTTTTAATCAAATATATAAAAATTTTCGTATTATACATATATGTCAATATTTTTACAAATATCTTTCAAAAATGGAAAAATACATATATAAAATTTGCAAATTACTTGAAGCAATATTTTTACAAAGTTTTTATGTCCAAGAAATAGAAATGTATTGACAAAATTCGATCTAAATACATTAGATTTAAATGCACCTTTATAATTATATATATATATATATATATATATATATATATATACATATATATATATATATAATTATATAATATATATATATATATATATATAACTTATTTTTTATTAATTGTATTAAAAATGAGATTTAAAAATAAATTAGTGCAATTTTCTTACTTTGCAGTCGCATTCGCATGGATGGACACATTTATTATGGCTATTTCTTAAAAACCCAGATTTACATTGACAACCTTTAAAGCACATCTGAAAATGCAAATATAAAAAAATTCATAAAATATATAATATTTTAGTGCAGTACTCTATGAGAAGTATCGTTCAACGATTTTAGTTTTCACATTTTTTTGTATGATATTATAAATGCAATCTCCGATACAAGTCTATTAATGTATATATATATATATATATATATATATATATATATATATATAATCTGTATTTATTTATTAGATAATAAAATATAATTAAGTGTATTCAGTAAGAAAATTTTCGCTCTGTAAACTCTGTAACTCTGTAGCTCTTTAGCTCTTTCTTTTTTTCGCTCTTCGCTCTTTCTTTTTTACTCTACAGTGCTACATAGCTTATAGAGATACAGCATTATAGAGCATTTTTACAGAATAGACCCATAAACTATTTAAAAACTTACAGCAGGACAAGCTTGCGGTTTTTTTGGAGGGAAACATTTTGGGGGACACACCGAACCACATTCAGTCCATTCTTCATTTTTTCCGCACTTTTTCTTTGGCGTCGAACTTTGGCCCCAAACAGCTAATAATTGATTATAATAATTCATAAATATCAAATTAGTAATAACAATTATTACTAATTTTGTTAATGACAATTATTGCTAATTTACATTATTATTAATATTACTTTTATAACTACTAGTTACTAACTTACGTTATTAATAATCTTACACGTTATTATACATCTTTTATTACATAAAATAATTGCGTTATTTATTATTTATTTATGAAATATAAAGATTAATATTATAGTAAATAAAATTAATTGTAATTTTAATTACTACAAGTAATTTTCTTATTGCTAAAGATAGAATAAATAATATAAAGAAACAAAATAGAAACTGCATTTGGATAGTAAATGATACATATCATAGTTTCTAAGCAAAAGTTATTAACTAAAGTTATAATCTTTTACATTTGAATAATTATTGTGAACGATTAAATATTGTAAATATTATTTAAAAAATTATATATCTGTATGTATAATAAAGCACATTTCGACTTACTTGACAGTACTGCAACAATGACGAGAAGCCAAAAAATAGGACGAGACATGTTTCAATATTTCATGAATATTACGAATTTACTATATATCAGATAAAGTCCAGCTTTTATATGTATCCTTTTTCGCACTACTTATTATTCTTTTATTGTTTGTTTCACAGTAAAAGAATACTTAAACGAAAAGATAACTCGAGTTTTACAATAAGAAAGAGGAACTTAAAAAGAATTTTCATTATTACAATCTGTTTCTCCCAACTGTCACGCTACAATTTTATTTTATATATAAGACACTTAGTATATATTCGAATATTTTGATTACTCGATATTAATCATTTGTATATTACGTTGAGATTTTCTTGCCAGATAAACAGTGGGAAGAATATTTTTCATATTGTGTACTTTATATTTCCCATAAAAAATTAATAAAATGCAATATAAAATCAATTTTTATTTTGAAATTTTTATATTTCTTCAAAATATATTTGAAAGTTTTTATATATAAAATCCGATATTAAAAAGTATCTTGAAGAACAATATTTAAGATGAATTATTAGCTTTTAACATAATTAAAATTAATTAGTTAGTGTAAAAGTGCTTTTATATTTTAGTGCCTTTATATTTTATCATAATTATTTAATTATACTCTAACATTAGATGAGTTATATATCTTTCCAGAACATATTCCGTTATATTGTTTATACATTTTATTGTTAATGAAATAAGCATTCTTTAAAAAGAACAGATATGTTCTCCTTTTCTCTTTCTTTTCTGTCTTTTTCTCAAATTAATACGATTTAAATATAAATACAATTTAAAAAGCCAACTTAAAAAGTACTAAATAGAACTTAGAATTCGTCAGCTCAAATAATCAATTTTTTCGCAAACATTAATCACGATATAAGTAATACCAAATATATTTAAAAGATAATATTGCCCTTTACAATTTTAATATAATCTAATTTAAATTTCAAGATGAGTATATAAGGTCAATGTAAAATAAATAGTAACATATATCTTAATATATAATCAATTTCCTTAATATATAATCATAAAAATTAACAAGAAAGTTCTAAAAAAGAGAAAGTTTTTTGCATTGTTTTACTGAAGTCTAAAACAAATTAAAAAATAAGAACATTGTTAAAATATTGTCATTATTTAGACAATTAAAAGAAGTAAAAGAAATATTAAGTATTAAATTTAATAAGCATTTGAAATTTTGTAACTAATGTGAAAAAATCAACTATAAAGAATGTTCTTATTAAAAATTAAAAAAAAAAACACATCAGGATCTATGTAATTTTCACAATTTTTTTATTTTTAATTACTTTTACACATTTCTCGAAGTATTGAAACAACAATTTGGTCTGCATCAATATTGTAATAAAGACGAATATTAATCAACGCATTAATATATCAAGTATCGATGAATTTTTAACATTGTTCGGGAGACACACAATTTCCTTTAGCATTGAGCACGAATCCTGATTTGCATTGGCATCCTATAATGCATTGCTGCAAAACAATCATGTATAAAATATAAATCTTTTTAATATAATATAATATTTAAATTATAAAATTTTATATTTAATCCCACAATATTTTATGTCTGTAATAGAAAAAAGAGAAAGAAGATTTGTGATCAGATTTAATAAGATGAAATAAATTAGTAAATACCAAAGTGCATATTTCGGGATTTGAATTACACGATCGCGGACATGCTGATCCGCAAGACGTCCATTCTTGATTTTCTGGACATTGTCGCTGAGCAGCAGCTATACCTGTACATGGTATGTTATATAAATCATTACAGGTTCACATATTATAGAAAATTAAAATTAAAACGAGAGAGAGAGAGAAAGAGAGAGAGAGAGAGAGAGGATATATTATAATCTATTATTTGTAAAAATTTTTGGATTAAATTAATCACAGATTAAATAAACATTGTAATTGTTTACATTTTACGCGAAAACTTACTGAGAAGCACTCCGACCACTACGAGCAATATAAAACTAATACGAAACATAACGTTTTCGATACTTTATTCTACGAAGTTGCGATTGATACTAACTGTGAGCTTCGTAGGAAAGGCTTTTATATACATCGTCCACTTTGTTAAGAAATTTTCTGTGAATTGCGTCAGCAGAAATTATTGCCTATTATATTTATTAGTCATCAAAACGCGTTCGTGCATTCAGGCATGTATATAAATAAAATAATAAAATACGTGTTTACTGATGATTATGTGATGATGTAATCGAAGATTAACAGAATATATTCTAAATAACTGAATGATAATATAACTTATCGATGATAACAAATATTGTTACGTTTTTTCGCAAGTGTTATAAACACGTTGCAAATGAAACTCATACATGTATTTGAATGTCAAAAAAATCATTATTATACAAAGATAATGCTTACATATTCATTATGCAAAGATGCTGATATATATTTTGTTGATAACATATTTTCTGCATCAGCTTGATGCATGTCTCATTTGTATGTAATTAATTATTTTTTGAATTTATTACCCTCCATCTGTATCTATATTGCCATTGCATAATCTTCATTTTCCTGCTAATTAATTTCGTATCGGCTATTAAAGATCAGAGATGCTTATAAGATTTCACGCAAATTCTATTGTTGCAATTTTTGAAATAATGATCTAATAATTAATTAAATCGCTGAGCATTATTTATGTTCAATAATTAGTGTAATTCACGTAAGAATGAGAGGAAGAACAATTCTTGTTCAATCAATTGGGAAATCCTAGGCCTTCAAAACGTATACGTTGCGTCTACTTTGTCAGCGTAAGCTCGACGGTCAATCCGGTCGCTTCCCGAATACGCTTTTACCCTAAATGCCATTTCGCCATCGGCGAGATAGCCCAAGTGAATCAGATTGACCCTTCTGCTTCCCCTCGTTCTCCTGGTACATAGGTTTTTTTTATTTCACGTAAAGAGCGCCGAGAATCGAATATCTAGCGATTCGAATTGAATTTATTATGATCGGGAATTGAATTATCATTTACGCAACTTGCTTTTAGTTGATGCATTTTCTTAAATTGAAGCGACTAAAATAATTTCGATGACGAATTCATAGAAAAGTTTCATTTAAAAAACATCTTTGATGTAAATATTTTTTGATTTAGCAAATTACTAATATTGTTACTTGTAAAAATAACGGATTCTATGTGGTGTGAAATCGCTGTGAGATGTTTGCGCAAATTGCGAAAAAATTTATGGATTTTATTTTTTAGTCAGAGAGGCAAAATTATTAAATATTTTCGGCTAATTACTAACTATTTTCTCGATTTTGTCCGAGATAAGAATTTAAAGGCACGAACAAACTGTTTTTCTACAATGAAAGACCGATACCTTAATTACTTGGCGTGTAATCGTAATATCGCTCTATTCTCATTGTCTTGGCTGTCCTATTCAGCATTACATGATGCATCGTCATCCAATTTCGACGGAAAATTCGATTGGAAGTTTTTTAGATTTTCTGTTCGTTCTCTGCAGCCTCTCTTTCACTTTCTGATCAAAGTATTTTGTACTTCTCTCTTGCTCTATCGTCGCTATCACCAAACTTTGTATCAAAACAAGCATTGCGTAAACGCTCGTTGAGATAATTATAGTGGCTTTGCGCTATTGACCCTGTTTTTGCTGACTGCACGCGAGATATGTACAAGCAAATGAGATATTTACACAAATTACAGAATATATTTAAGATATCTTCTACTCATACAAAATTTCCTATATATAATATACTATATATAATATAGTAACTATATATAATAATTTATATATATTATATATAAATATATAATATATAATAATTTATATATATACTATACATTATACTATATATTATATATAGTAACTATATATAATAATTTATATATATTTATGATTAAACACGATTCGGAAATATCTTTTCGGCTCTTCCACTTTTATTGGATTAAATATTTACTCAGCTTTTCTTTTGTTATTATTCAATATATGTAAAGAACATATTTCATTTTATGCAAACAGAATGTGTATTATAACACACTTTTTTAATTACATCAAAAACGTGGATAAAATAATTCTTTTTTACTATAAAATTCACGTTTTTTAAATATAAATTAAATACTATTATTAATTATTGTTCATTATTTTATTAATTGTAATGTAATTAATAATTAAAATAAGTAATTGAAATAATTATTGTCATTATTTGAAATCTAAATCTAAATTATATATATATATATATATATATATATGTATATATACATATATAATATTATGTTAAAAAATATTACGACAATATGATACAATACAAAATTTTGCTAGTCGTAGATAAGTCGTAGATAAAGTAGTAGATAATTCGTACTATTTCTTCAGCTAGTAAAAATAGAAATGCAATAAAAATGATGGTTGCGTAATACCATCCAATGCACAACAAACAGAAGGTCTACACTGAGGAAAAAATTATTTTGAAATAAAAAAATTTTAGTTAATTCAAGAAAGCTATTTATTCGGTGAGTACTAATCACGTATTTACTTTCAAAACATTAAGTATTTATTTACATATGTTTAAAAAAATATATATATGTTTAAAAGAATATAATTTTTAATTAAATATTTTTATTTTAATTTTACGAAATATTTATTAAAATGCATTTTTTATTCCCAAAAATTTTAAATTTTTTAATTTTAAAAAGTAATATATTTAATTTATAATAAATTATAATATATATTTTACAAAAATAGTATTTAAATATAAAAAAAAATATAAATGAAAATAATGTACTTAATATAACATGCATATTTAATTAAAATTAAATACTTTTGCTTAAATGAAATAAACAATTCCTTGTATTTGAAGCAAAAGTTTCAAGAAAACAAATTTATTTGATTTAAAAAAATGTTTTCCTCAATGTATATATCATTAAAGAACGCGGGGAATCACGGGTTGTCAAGACATACAATGTACATATTTATTTTGGATTTCCCCGATCGCATACGGCATAGAGGTCACGTACGCCATAAAGATAATTGAACGAATCGACTTTAAAGAGGAAAAATTTTTTCAGTGCATTGTTATTACTGCTGTTTGTATTGTAATAAGTGCGAAATTATCTTTAAACAATGTTTTTGCTGTTTCAAGCAAGAAAACATACACATTTGTATAAAATACATTTACACGTGGATTACGATTGCAGATGTAGATTTTCTGCAAATTTGTGATCATTTAATTATACTGTACTTTCCTATACAAAATTCAGAAGAATTTTTTTATATGGTTGTGTTTCGATATTCACTGTAACTTTATATGTGTGACATACACTATATTTTCAATACTGAAGTAGTGAATAATTATAAGATAGTGAATATTTATTTTGATAGTGAATAATTAGTGAATAGTCGGAACACAATATATAAGATATTCGAAACAGTCAATAAGGTAGACTGAGCGAATAGTGCATCGAAAATTAAAATAATGTCTCGCATAATAATTGTACTACTACTTTCATTGACGATATTTTTTGCAGGTAAATATATTTAATTTTTTTATTATACGAATAAAATTTCTAACTAGTAATATTTTGTAAAAAGAACATTTATATTTATTCAGCACTGTTTTTTAAGCGATTTATTAAGCATTATACTCATTTAAGAAGAATTGTAGATAAATTAATGTTTGTCCAAACATTCGTATTTGTGATGTGTATAAATTCTTATTAAACAGTTAATGTGTGTGTATATTTTATTTGTACTGACAAATATATTATCGCGCATGCAACATTATCATTATCGCTTTTAGATACGTTTGCACTTAACTGTAGTGGCCTAAATGAGGAATACAAATGCGGATCGGCATGTCAAACAACTTGTAATAACTTGGGTCAAGCTTGTCCTATAATAAACATTGTAAGTTCACAAATATAGCAATCTTTTGGAAAATTCATGTAATCCTTATATTTTAAAATAGATTAACCGAATATGTATTTTATATCAAAATTTATTTTATAATATAAATGCTTATTAGAGGCATTAAAAGATTAATTTTTAATAGGATTTTATACGATTGCTTGTTAATATTTCCCGTAAATATTTTTATCTATGTTCAGATATGTTATTTAAATTAATCTTCTTTCAGCGATGTAATGATGCTTGTTATTGTAAAGAAGGCACGAAATGATAACAATGAATGTATTTCCATAAATGAGTGTCCTAAGAAAAAAAAAATCGATATTCAACAGCTATGAAACAACGAAAAATTAATTAAGCTACTAATTGGATAATAAATTGTATATTCCAATTTTTCTTACAAATTATAAACTATTTATCTTATTCGATTACACGAAACATTTATTAATATTATACGTATATAATATATTATCTATTGCTATGCATTTTTAAACATATATTAAATATATATTATATAATATGTTTTGACTAAATAAATAAATTTTAACTGGATTTTGTGTGTATTGTTGAAAGACGGACAAACTAATCCTCGTTGTTAAAAATGGGAACCAACTTCACAAAGTGAAAAATTGATCATTTTTTTCAGTATACACTATTGCAGCGATAAAACTTTTATAAGATACTATCATAATAATAATTCCGACAGGCGTGAATTTTCCATGCATCTCTTTTGGCACATCAAGTACAGATTTGCATGAAACCGTTCTTCCGGAATATTATTCGCTAACAAGATAATAATGCTCGACTCTCAGAATACACACGAAGGAAATCGGAAATCTCGTCTTTCGTGAGGACCGGCTTCGCGTTTGCTCTAAGCCGCTTTTCGGATTAGTAAAGCTTCCATAGTCGTTGTCCGGTTACTGACAACTCAGTGCGCCAAACGAAATAACCGGCTCGATGTTCGAACGCACAATCGCGTAAGTCAAACAGTTTGGCTACTGGTTTTCAAGAAGTGGTCCAATATTTGGTTTTGTAATGTAATCCACAGAGAAGTCAAAAGAGGATAATATTCTCAAAATGTCTCGTCTCTTCTCTCACGCTAATGCGTGTGGGAATTGAATATCGCTTAGGTAATTTTTGACTCGTCTTTTTATATAACTTCGCTGTCGTATTTAACTG